TGACAGTTCGTGGCTTATTTGAAAACAACACATTCATGGCAAATTTGGCAATCATAAGTCAGACCCTGTTTGGCATACCAATGTCAAAACACATTGAAAATCAATCACWGTGCGGCGAACCAYAAGTTTCAAACAATGATAACAGGCAAGTGTGTCATAGTGTGTGTTCACTCAGGAGACTGATGGACATTCATTAGCACATCATTTATGTAAGAACACATTCATTAGCGCGTCATCCCTATGTCGCATCTAAAATTAACAGCACATTCATAATGGAGGCATCCATGACATGCACGTGCGTGGCATCGGAGAAGCACATAATTTGCAACAATCACGACAACAGAGCAGAAAACAATCACCAGACATTGCAGACAACAGCGATTTAGATGCAAGACCAATGTTGGCGGAGGAACAAGAACAAGAGCAAATATATGACAAAGCATTTTAATGGAAATGCGTATGTAAAAGGCTGAAGCCAAAAACTTGCCCCATAGTCTCTACTGTACAACCGAGTAGCAAAAAACAACTGGACCCATCATTTCTGCTACACAACAGAGTCGCAAAAAAAATTGGACCCGTCGCCGGGCGTCGTCTGTAATGTACAACCGAGTAGGAAAAAAAAAAAAGAAAACACTAATGTCCACATCGTCTCTAATGAAAACCGAGTACGAAAGAAAAAAATGAAAACCCTAATGGACAACCGAGTAGGAAAAAAAAATGGACCCATCGTCTCTGCTACAAAATAGAGTAGAAAAAAAAAATTGGACCCGTCCACGGGCATCGTCTCTACTGTACAACCGAGTAGCAAAAAACACCATGGACGTCGTCATCTCCCACCAGAGCGCGCGCGGCCTCTCCCGGAAGACGTGCGGCCATGCGGTCCTCCCCGGCGCCCTCCTCTCCCTCTGGCACCTGTGCCCCATGCCCCGCTGACGTATGCCGCATGTGCCGCAGCGGCCACCACGGTCACCTGTGCCCTGTGTCTGCGTGCCGCAGTCTCGATCGGCTGGGACTCAGTGTCTGCGTCCTCGTCCTCCTTCGCCTGTGCAACAATCCCCCTCTCTCTCTCCCTCTGAATCGCATCCAATGCTGCCTGCCCAGCGGTGACCCCTGCAGCGAGTCGAGCCTCAACCATCGAGAGGCCATGCCGTCGTCTCTTCCCGGAACGCATCGACAACCCCTCCTCGCCCGATGTGAACTGCTCTCCCCGCAGCCTGTCCGTGGATGTCCCTGCGGCCTCGAGGACCAATGTCCTCCTCGTCTCCGCTCGTGACAAACCAAGCATGCGGCCTGCCATCTGCAGGCTCGGACGTCCTGACCCACCCTCCGCAGCCTGCGTTTGAACAGGCGTACGTCCCTTGAAGACGCCCCTCCCGGCGTCGTAATCCGCCCGCAACCGGTCCCCGACCCGACGAACAGCTGACCATCTGCCACCCACACCTCCTCGGACTGGCGGCGGGGAACCGCCCATGTGCGCAGCTTTGGGTGCCATCGTCCGGTCCCCGGTGTCGACCGTGGCCTCCGGATTCCGTGCGGGCGGTGGAGGCATCGATCCTGCACTATCTCTGCCGCCGTCGCTGTGTCTGCAAGACCCCACCTCACCCGCACCGGACTCCCTCCCTCTAACGCCGTTGAGCGACAAACCCGACCAGTGAGGGCTCTACACTGTGAACGGCGGCGGTGAATATACCCTCCAAGGGGCCCGCTGCTTGCCGCTTTTGCGGCTCACGTGTGCGAAAGGGTTATCCGTCAACGCATGCGCCAAAGCGTTGTCGTCAAAGAAAGTGTGTGTTGTGTCGGCAGGGCGCAACGGAGGCACTGTGGGATCCCTCAACACCAAGGCGAGCCTATACGGATCATCCTCGGGACCGTGGTCGTCGTCATTGTCGTCGTCCGGTCCATCGTCTCCACCGACACTCGCGGTGTCCCCATCTTCACCAGGTCCACCCTCTCCTCTGCCGCACACTGCGGCATCCTGTCCCTCATCACCCGCGGTCTCGCTGTCGCCACGGCCCCCATTAGGGGACCCACCGCCCATGACAACATCCTGCCCCTCAAGGACACCCGCGGTCTCCTCGTCGCCACGTCGTCCACCACCTGACCCACCACCCGCGGCGGCATCCTGCCCCTCATAATCGAAACTCCCCCTGAACCGCCTTCTTAGGGACACCCGAGTCGTCGACGTCACGGCTCCCCCACCCTCCTGTCTCCAAGTCCCTCTGTCGACGCTGCTCGTCGAGATACGCGAACCGACCCTCCCACTGTGGCAAACTCCTCAGCCGCTCCTCCTCCTCTCGGTCCAAACGGGCATCCCACTCCTCCTCAGTCTCAACAGGGCCCGCTCAACGTCCGCGTCTGTGCGCACATCTTGCAGTGAGGCACGTCGACATCCCTCGACACTCAAATCTCCCAACCTCCCACCAAGCCCTATGTCCTCGAAGTCCTGTGTGCGGAGCACCGACGGCGAGCGGGGGTGGATACCGGCGTCGGAAGGAGTCCTCTCGCCCCCACGATCCTCGCCGTCATGTGTTCGGTCTCTGCCTACTGCCGACGCCAACCTCTCTGAATGCCTAAGTGCCTCGGGCTGTGCAGAGATCGGATGATGGGAGGGAGAGAAGCGACGATCGCGAAGGGGCACCCCCTCGGCCTCGTTGTCGCTTCTAACCTCCCAACGTCTGCCTGTGTGCCGAAGACCTCCCCGTGGCTGCTGCTCCCTCGAGTCGTCCAGGCGAATCTCCGCATGCGAACGTCCTCCAAGACCACCGCCGACTCTGCTGCTGCCACTCACCTGCGTGGTCGACGGCACACCACCAGTGATAACTGATGTGTGTGAATCCATGCCGTCACGACCCCCACTGTAAGTGAAGTACACTCGCTCAGCCGTCGGGTCGCGACTCAGCGGCGTGTCATCATCGTCAGTCCAGTCGTCGTCGATGTCATCGCCTGCCGCAGCAGCGTCCACATCATCCCCACCCTCTGGCCATGATCGCAGCTCCGTCGCTCTGCTGCCGAACACGTCCCGAACCGAACGGGCTCTGGACAGTCGTCTGTCACGGAAAGCGACAATCTGCCGTTGGATCTCCTGCTTGAGAACACTGCCATCAGGGCGCGCTCCCCACACCTCGGGCTCCACATCTCCCTCCTCATCCTCCTCCTCTACCGCCGTCCCCCCCCGACCGGTCCCCATAACCCATGGCAACACGTAGCCACCACCCTGCCGTGCGCACGAGGTCAGTTTGAGATTGGTGGCAATCTCAACCAGCTGTGCAAGCTTGGCGAACCCAAGCTTGCATCGCCTTGCCGTATTAACGCGCTCGTGCTCCGCCCAGTTCCTCTCTGCTGGAGAGGCAAACGTCCACAAGTGCATGACACGGATGGTGATGGTGCGCAACTCCGGGTGGGCACGTCCATGCTCGAACCACCACGCTGCACATCGCTCGGTCTTACTGTCCCCCTTGCAATCAGCCGCCTCGGCATCGGAGAGGTCACGATCTCCCCAATCCCCTCGCCTCGAGTGGAACGCCCTCATCTGGTCCCTCACGGTCGTGTACAATAAGCGGACTGGATCGCCGCCGGTCTGTGCCAGGAGAAATATGTCGCACTCCTCGACCACACGGCGGTCGTCGACGGTCGTCTCCAGCTAATGGTAATACGTGAGGGACCGTCGACGAGGGTTGAGGAGGTGGGCCGCGGCATGTGCGGGCTCTAGCATGTCGAGGTTGCTGATGGCAACCTCACACACGCACGGCTCGATCATGTCCGTCAGCACGTCGACCCTGCTCATCAACTGCAGCAGATGCTGACTCCACTCGTAAACGAGGGACATCATCATCCCACCTTTATCCATCCTACACAGTAGCTGGTGGACGGGCGACATGACTAGGATGGCGTAATGGACACGCTGCCAAAACTCCCCGTCCCGGATCTGCTGCTGCACCCACTGCGCCTGAGATAGGTGGGCGCGATCCCACGGGATGCGTGCCCCAGCATCCCCGTGCAACATGCTCTCCAACGCGTCTCGTCGGCCTTTGAAACACGTCTGCATCAGGAAAACGGACGCAAACCGTGTCTCAACGGGCTCGACGAGCTGAACGCGAGGGCTCACCTTCCTAAACAGGGTGTGAGCAGCGCTGTGCGATTGAATAAATTGCACAAGCGCTCGACCGCGGATGGTGGTCTCCTTGACCCACACCACTCGACATCAAGTTGCAGAGATGGGTGGAGCAGGGGAGCCAAGTGATCCTCCTGATCTCAGGCTCGGGGTCTGCGGCGAACCTGCGCGCTGCTCCCGTAAAGTTACTGGGGGAGTCTGTGCAGAAGCCGATCACGTCCTTTGCAGGAAAGGACGATGATGGCCCACCACCTACGGTACACGACGTCCGCTGTGCCTCGGACCGACCCGTCACGTGCGACGGTGGTGTACAGCAGGGCGCCATTGGCGCCCCCGGCAAGAAAGTTCACAAGCGGCTTGCCGCTGCACGACTTCCTCCCGTCAGAAAGGATAGTGGCACTGCTGTGCCGGAAAGTGGCACGCACCTCGCTCACCATCGTCGCCACCTTCGCCCTCTGCAAAGGGATACCGACCCCCGCTGTAACCCTGTAGGCGGGAAACCGGAACTGGATAGAGTGAGCCACTCTCTCTGCTGCCTGTCGCACCCTCTAGAACTTCCGGACCACGGAAGGCGTTGAATGGCAACTTCTTCACGTAGATCCACTGAAGCCAAGCGTCTGTGAACTCGGCCAACTTCTCCCTGGGATACATCACGTCAATCGTGGTCTGCCGAACCCTTTTCTCCCTGCCCGTGTCTGGAACCTCGATGCCAGCCTTCCTCACTGTCCTCTTCTCCCTCCTCGCGCGCTCCACCTCAGCTCGCGGCGCCCTAGTAGAAGGACCCGCTCCACCGACGCCTGTCCACGTCATCACCACCTTCTCCCCTGGCAGGTCTGGCTCTCCGACTGCTTCATCTGCCTCGTCTGCAACTGCCCCCTCCCTCTCCCCACCCTCGCGGTGTCGGGCGCAATCGGTCCGGCACCGCACGGGGGCAGCGCGGGACCCTCCCGGCCGCGTCACGCAGGAGTTGGTTTTCAATCCTTCGTCGCAAAAAAAATACATGGAGCTTCCACAAGCCGCTCCGGCCGGGTGCGCCAGCCATACCTCTCGCGAGCCCCTACGACAGGATAGGGCCTACGCGAGGCACGACTACCTACACCTTACGGGAGCTGTCACCTCCCTTCGGTGGGCGTATCCCCGCCGAGCTACCAGTCCACAGTACGAAAGCTAATCAGCTGCAATCGCAGAGGTGGACCAGCCGAGGGCGTTTCTCGTTCGCTGTAGCATAGGGGGTACGCGCGGTAATACGCCTCTATTGGACCCGCACGCGAACCGACATCTTGGGGGGGCTGAGGTCCCAAGCGCGACTCGTCGTCGGTCGACTAGGACGCTTCCCACACACCACGCGCACTCTACGTTACGAACACAAGAACATAAGAACATGTATACGCACACGTACGAAACGACACAACWCAAACAACGCGACAACGCTYCTAGCCCCTCARTAGCTGTCCCATAACTTTCGGRCGCAAAAATCGAATAGCCGTCGCGTGCGGGACTTAGGATAAAAACGCGCGGACGCGGGGCCTACTCATATCRACTCGCAATGCAAATGTACGCAAGCAGTCGCAATGAATGCGTACTATGTAGTGCCCATAATCAAGCGGTCCCTCGTGGATCCGAGTACCGCTTATGACGCTCAAGTGTCAGATTTGAAGTGTCGTGAGGGCCTAACCCTTCACGATATTGCACGGCTGAAGGAAATAGTCGTGCAGCCGCCGCCACGCCTTAGGTCCTTGACCTGAGCGTCTTGGTAGGCAAATCAAATAGGGTCTGCRCGGRGGAAGACCCCTCCCCTGCAGAGCTTAGGGCTTGGGATGTCCTGGACAA